CAAAACTTTTTGGGAGTTTCACGGTGCGTGGTTTGCAATCCGCCCAGCCAATCAGAGGAACCTTTTTCTCCCACTTTTCGAAAAGTGGGTGAAAAGGTTCTGATGAACTAATTTTAGTTCCGGCTCTTTTTGGTGTGAACCCGACATTTCGGAACTATATCAGAACTAAATTGGGAAAAGTACTGCGGTGTGAACACGCCTATTGTGTTTGCTGTAAAGGATCAGATGTTACCTCTTCTCTGTGAGCTGCACTGCTCTGTAGGATAATACTTTAAGAGTGAATCTATGCTACAGCTGCCTGAATCTGCTTCATGAAAGGCAGGTTTAACTATAAAAACAATCATATTTGATCCTAAATATCTTGGCTTCTCCTTTACGGTCACATTGTTCTCTTCGTTTACATTATACACTTAGGTCATATTGATATTTGTGTTCTCTTTTATTTATTTGCATTGCATTTGATATTGAGGTAATCCAGAAGTAAGGGAAAGTCATCAGTTTACAGGTTTTACAGGTGACTAGTTATTTTAATGGAGTACTTTTTTAAGGTAACCCTCCCAACCCGGATTAAATGTGGAATAAAAGAATAAACTTCTTTGCAGTTTTAAGCGTCTTTGTGAGACATTTGGTGCCATGGAAACCTATATAACCAGAAACATAAAACCCATTGCAGACATGCAGTATCTCTAGCTGAGGTCATGCTGAAGCAAGAGCATTTCAAACGTATTTCCAGGCTCTTTTTCTTTTTACAAAGCAGGTACGGATATTCAGATTTACAGTTTAACCCTCTAGCTGTTTGAACGGATGAATGCTGTTATCAGCTCCACCACGTCCAGCCTTTTAAATCTCTGTTTAAGTAAAATGTCTGCGAGCGCTGGCATTCAAAGATGACTCGTTGTGAAATGACAGAGAAGAGCAACCCGTCTTCTTCAGCTTTTTATTACAATATGGTTCATTACTTCAAGTTTGCGCAGAGTCTTCCATGTTTGAAGGTGTTGATTTCTTCCTACAACCCCCAAAACAAAGGTCATTGTAACTATGTGGGCCTTAATATACTTCTTATCTCATTATGTGCAAGTCTTCTCTGGTGATTACAGCACAACAACTTTGAAAGTCATCTTTTGTCTTTTTTATTTTGCTCGTACTTTCCTCCGTTGGCTTTGGGCATCTGAACTCCTCATCACACTAAGCGTGCTGTCAAGTTGGATTAGTCCGTGACATTTTAACTTGTGGGTATTTTTTTATTACAGGAAAGGCACTGCAGGCTTACGTCTGACAAATAAACCTCGCTGGGTTGTAAGGTTCAAAGTCTTTCCATTTATTTTCTGCAGGCCGATTTGCTTTTCATGCTGCAGCGTAACAATGCACAGATGGCGTTATCAATGGCAAGACAACAGGAAAAGTAGGGCGAAAGAAGAGTGGGATGACTGGGAGGGGGGCTCCTAACCCCTAAGTGTGGGGGAAATGAAAAGGAAACACAAACAAAGAACAACCTAGGCCTTGTTGTAAACAAAATGACTTCTTGGGAACTCTCAGGCTCCAACAATCTGTTTGAATGTCGTCTTCAGGTTCAAATTATATAACATTTCAGATTGTTTTTAACAGTCTATGGTTGACTCACACTTCACATTGTAACCACCTTTCTGCCTCATCTAGCCTCTCTTGTCATGCTATACTAAAGTTGTCCCGACATCTCGATTTGAACCAAAGAGCTAGACGGACATTTCCTCTCAAAGAGGCTCGCTGCCAGGCTTAAATGGAAGAACACGGACCCAGTGTTTATATCACGGAAACATCTTAGTCAAGGCAACAGTTAGCCCTCAAACATAAATAAAGGGACATCATGCCAGAAATCTATCTGATGTCTAGCAGCATGAGCTTACTGGCCATCTGTACGTTCTGGAGAATCACAGATTGGGCAGTAACACAGGGCGGCTGACGGTAATCACATATTAATTTATAAACGTATAAACACTTTGGTCTTACTCACCAAGTTCAGATATCTTCAGTCATTTTGATTATGGCATGGTGACGCAGCTGCTGAGGGCTTTTCCATGTGCAGAGAACTGTCAGGAACGACACTTTGGGATTTTCTTCTGAGGAAAAATAAGATCTGCAGTTCACACAGGGCCGTATAAAAGTGATTGTTTACTTGCTGAAGTCCACTGTTGTCCAAGCACACTCTATTCTATTGTTTCGATTGAAACCAATGCACTACAGCTGTGTCCAGAAGAAAAAGAAGTTCCACTTTTCAAGTCGGAAATGCTATGTTGCACCCGGGTGACAGGACGTCTCCTTCCTCAAACAAAAAAAGCACAGTAGGAAGTTATAAGCGAGCATGTGATGTGTGTTGGTGTATTGACATTGGTCTGGCTGGAGAGTGCTAATTGAAAGTGGTTACATAACCTTTGTAAAGTCATGGCTTCAATTGATGAGGCTGGTCTGAGTCCACGGCTGTTTTTCAGTCCTAGTCTGTCCTGTCTAACTTTGATCTGGAACGGATCAAATCAGGCTTTCATTGTTTTGTCCCTTAAGGCCAGAAAAGGCATCTTCTGGCCTGAAATGTGAACAACAAAAGACGCTTTTGGATGTGAAGATGAGGGCTGTAATCATTGTTGGACAATATGGGAGAATTTCTAGGTTTGTACTCGTAAAGGCCAAGTGTTTGAACAAAAGCAACTAAAAAAGCACTATTTTGAATCTGACGTACCCTCATACCACCGTTGTGAGTGTGTGTGATTATCCATTTTCCAAACATTACTTTTTCAGCTTCGTGCCTTAAAAGCTGCCTCTTCTCTCCGCTCCCATCTATAATAATAATACATTTGATTTATATAGCACACTTTAAAAACAACGTCATCTCAAGGTGCTTCACAAAGCTATAAGGAGAAAATAATAAATATATCTAAAGGAGCATATTGAATAAAATATGGTAATATAAAAAATAAAAATAAAGTTTAAAATAAATAAAGTAAAGGACAGTCAGTAAAATGCGGTGTGGAACAGGTGGGTCTTGAGGCATTCCCTAAAAACTGAAAGTGATGCAGAGCTCCGTATGTTCTCTGGAAGCTGATTCCACAGACGGTCTCCCACTCCCACGCTGGCCAGTTTTGTCCGCGGAACAGCCAGGAGATTGGAGCTGTCTGACCTGAGTGTCCGTGAGGTATGTGTATAATATTTTCTGGTTAGCAGTTCCGGTAGGTAGGTGGGGCCAGTGTGGTTGATGGCGTTGAAGACCATTATGAGGACTTTGTAGTTGATCCGGTGTGTTACAGGGAGCCAGTGGAGTGAGTGAAGGATGGGGGTGATGTGCTCTGATTTGAGTGTTTTTGTGAGTATCCACAGTTTGGTACATATTGGAGTCTCTGAGTGATTTTTGCTGGAATGCCTGCAAGCAGAGAATTGCAGTAGTCAATGCGGGAGCTGATGAAGGCATGGACCAGTTTTCCTACATCCGGTTGGGTGAGGGAGTGTTGCATTTTGGAGATTTTCCTCAGGTGGTAGTATGAGGCTTGGCAGACCATCTTAATGTGTGCTTGGAATGAAAAGGATGAGTCCAGTTTCACAGCTAGACTCGTTACAAGTGGGGAGAGGGGAAATCTCCCCTCCTCTCTCTTTTATCGCTCCTGAACTTTTCCCATCCTTTCTCTGTCTCTCTGTGACTCGGCTCCTATCTCCTCACCCCCCAAACCACACTCATCCACCTCCCCCCCCGTTCTGATTCAGCACTGCCCCTTTGGCTGTTTCGCAGGAAGACGACTTTAAAATCATCATTATCGCCGTGTTAATTCCAGAGCCTTATCTTCCTAAACAAAGTGTGTGGTTTTGTGTCTTTATGCTGACATCCGCGGGCTGCACTTGAATGTAGCTTATTTTCTATCTTGCTCCACTTAGCATTGAAATGAACCAGGTTTTTGAGGAGTAGCACTAGCTTGCATCAGCGCCACGCGAGCTAATAGGGGTATCAGCAGTTCCCTGCATCGGAGGAACATCAAAGCGAGCAATTCCCTCTGAACACAGAATCTGGGTGCACACAGCGGGCACACATGCACAGACACACACTCAGGCATGCACGTACACACTCGCTCAGACTCGTGCAAAGACGGGTGCATACAGCGGGCATGAGGGAAGGGGTAGCTTCTTGTTTTCACACAGTATTTCCATATATGTTAATAGCATACTTGTTATTCTGCAGAAACAGCCGGTGGTGTGATGAAGTGATGAGCTGTCCTGGCTGCAGGCAAGAGGACAGACAGGGTTAGAAAACACTACAGTCTGTGTAAAGTTTTTCAGTTGTTGATTTTGCTTCAAAACACACACACACACACACACACACACACACACACACACACACACACACACACACACACACACACACACACACACACACACACACACACACACACACACACAATTGATTTCCCGCCATTGTCCATGTTAGTGCTGATATGAGTGATGTGTTTGATGTGGAGCACGTCGAGGCGGATCACTGATGTGTCTGCTAACACCACATGATTACCCCGTGAACGGTTTCATTTGATGGAGCTTTTGATAAACCTGCATGGGAACTGGGTCATGAGATTTGAGACGTTCGAACAATCATACTCCAAAAAGGTAGATGAATGGGGATCATTGGGAACAAGCACAGCTTTTGACCGGCTAAGTGTCGCAGTCTCATGTGTGACTGGAGCCATCGCTGCTGCTGCATCTGCACACCGAGACAAACACAACACATTAGCGCTATCAAAGGGATCATATTTGGTAACGGAGCTTTTTTAAACCCCCTCTTCTTGTATGATTTGTTTTTCTGCTAGTAGTGTCTTTGTCACGATTCTTGTGTTATGTCACGGTTTTAGTTTGGTGTGTCTGGTAGTGGGTTTTTGCTGTTCTGTTCTCCCTGTGTTTTCCTCCCTGTCCTTAGTTTCCCTGGTGTGTCTCCTGTGCTCATCATCACCAGCCCCGCCCCTGATTGTTTTCACCTGTGTCTTGTTGTCATGTGTTTAAATTCCCCTGTCTCCCAGTGTTCAGTGTCAGTTCGGCCCATTCCCAAACCGTTTTTAACTTAGGATCATACCTGTAGTTTAGAAAAAGGCAAATGTGTGCATTTTATTATAAAGTTGTGTTTATTTACAGACCGTTGCAAAAACTAAGAAGCTTATAAACATCAGGTTTAAAACTAAAAGAGCTTTGAAACACAATGAAAGATGTTTGGAGTTTTATTTGAGTTATTCATTTTAACTTTTTGTCTAAGAGATGCTGATTTGAAACCGTTGTTACATACAGTTACGGCATTTCCTGTTTCTGCCGGAGAGAGGGGAGGCCGTCCCAAAGCTCGCCGCTGTATTTACTCCCTCCATCTGACAGGAGGGAGCCTCGTTGAGCTGCGAGTGTGGCTACAGACCGAGTTCACTCCGTCACGGAGGGGTAGGGTCGAGGGGGTGATTTGGGATTGGGCCGTAGTCTTGTCTCTTGCCATGGTCAGGTCTATGCTCTCTGTGCTCTTGAAAAGTGTTGTTCCTCACTACGTGAGCGCTTTCATTTTGTTCTCAATTTTTGTCATCTCAACTTGAGATTTGATAGTGACTTTTTTTTGTTCATCTTGCTGTATTTTGGAAAAATAAAGTATCTTACCAATACTTTACCTCTGTCTCGTGGGTCGTGCAATTGGGTCCTACATCCTAAGTGTCTGAGTTCTTAACAGTCTTCATTATTTCAATATACAGTAAGATAATGGAAATCAGGGTCCGGCAAATCATGTCTCCTTTTGATTTTATATTGAAGCTATGATTTAAATGAACTGTTGAGACCTTTTGCCCTTAAAGAGATCAAAGAGACATCCATGCTTATCAGTATGTTCTACACACAATGCTTACAGACTGGCAAACAGAATACATTGTTCCCATATAACAGAGTTGTTACAGCTCTCCATTTAAAGGGTCCAAACCAAAGGCCAACTGAGTATTACCCTAATACATTTCTTTGGGTTACATAAACTAGTGTTGGAAAGATTCGCCTAGCTTCTGTGTCCACATAGCAACTTTTCTGAGTGCCTTATCCATGTATTTCAATGAGAACAGAGCGTCCACATGCAGCCGCCACGAGAAAAAGTGCAGCACCAAGTATTGAAATTATTTAATCTATACAGAAAAGTGCCGGTGACGTCACTGTAGAAGTCGGAAATAAAAAAATTTCAATAAACATCCTAAACGTTTTTTTTTAAGACACTGTAAACTATCTGCTGAGCTAAACATATGTTTTAAAGACTTCATGAAGCTTATTTACTGCCAAAAGATTCACCCTGGTATTAAAATGTAGTCCTTATTGACCAATCAGAGGCCTTAGAACAAGCAGTGACTGGATCCATTCAGAGGTGTGCAATTTGGAGACAGATATATAAGCAGCAGATTTTGCGACAGTGTTCATTTTATTGTTTACTCAGAAACCGAAGAGAAGAAGCCTTTACACTTATTCTTCAAAGTAAATATGATCGATAACCAAGAGAGGATTGTCCTGTTCAAGAAGCCTTGAGACCTTAACAGCGAAGAGTCAGGCAGTAAAACCAAATATATGAACGCTGAACTACACTAACTTTAGATTAATAATTCCCCTCCCGTCTAACATTACACAGTCTTTTGATTTTCAATAAGTGGAGATCTAGTGTTTGATTTACCGTGGCTTCCTTAAAAAAAAGAATATCACCAAATCTGAACTCCCTAAGTTTGCTTAAAGCTCTTTTGATGAACGCAACATCTCTCACATCTTTTCTCAGTTCCTGCTTCATGACATGAGTGCAATCCAAACAACTCAGCAGGATACCGTCAGCGGGCTTTTTTTTTTGGTTACTCATTATGAAATTGGGCTAGTTTCTCTGGGACTGTCAAGAGTTTATACTGTGTGTTACAGATTCTGTTTCTTCTGTTTTATGGATGTTCTACATTGAGTGATGTACATCAAAGCACCATTTAGGGCTAAAGAAAACATAACAACTATAGAAATACAATTACACGGACGGACAGAGTGATAGATAGATACTGTTTAGATCAATCATCATCTCTCAGGGAAGAGAACACATGAGGATCCCTTACAGTTACATAAATAAAGACATCATGAGATTACTGACTTCTAAACATTGGGGATCACTAGCAGGATAACAATGTTACTAAAAATATAAAAAGATCATATAGTGTTTGTTGTAAAGCATCAGATGTTATCTCTTCTCTGTAAGCTGTTCTGTTCTGTAGGATAATACTTTAAGTGTGAATACTTCTACTGCCTGAATCTGCTTTATGGTTTTCACTTTCTTTGCTTCATTTGCTCTGTTCTTAATTCAGCAGGTGAACCTATATGTTCATAAAATAGTGTGTCTGATCTTAACTGTGTGTATTAAACTAAAACGGAGCATTTTCTGTCAGCTCAGATTTTATTTCTGCTTTTTTAAACTGTAGTTTGTGCTCATGAGTTTCATTGTTGGTTCCTGAATATGCTTGATGAAACGCACATTTTCATATAAATAAAATCATTTTAGATCTATGACGGCACGGGATAAATTTGGTGCACAGATGGAAGGCTGACAGGCAGGTAGGCCATCCAGTTATTTTAGCTATTTTGTAGTATGTGCTCATGAGTTTCATTGATGGCTACTGCCTGAATATGCTTCATGAAAGGCAGGTTTTACAATCAATAAAATATGTACTGATCCTTAATATCTTGGTTTCTTCTTTTTCTAAGGTCACATTGTTCTGATGTCTTACATAATATCTACTTTAGCAACAGGATTCAAACCCGTCTGATCACAATCTTGACGTCCACTTAAAGACTTGATGATTCACTCTCTAAAAGGTGACAATGTAATTGAAGTCCGGCTGAAAGTGGCAGACTACCATGTGGTGTTTATTCAGTCCGTCCGGCAGCAGTGTGATTCAAATCTTTATGTCAATATAATGAGTTAATGCGGTTCATTCAGAACAAACACATGAATAAATGGACTTTAAATCTGTTACCATGTGGCAAACATTCACACAGCGATTATTATTCATCTGTCGGATTACATACGGTGTTTGGTAAACACTTATGCTGACACTTAGAGACAAACACAACGATGGTCTTCAGTGCGAGGGACAATTAACACGTGAGCACACACTCCTGTGACACACTAATCCAGAGTACTCTATGAGTTTTTAAGTTTCTTTTATACTTTATGTATTTGTACTTATTGTCAGTCTGTGTGTACCTTATGAATTATAAATGACCTATTTACAAAGCAGCATTAAGTCATGAATATATGCATAGTATAATAATGCTTGCGCAAACGTTTGCATATAAAACATATTGTTAGATTCACTGTGACAGCTTCTGCTGAAAGTCAAACAATTATCAAAATTCTTACCATTGAAAATATATTATAATTACTGTTTTTTTTATCTTATCATGCAGGTTTATTTAATATATTCTTCTACTGTAATATACAAAATGAATTGCTGTCTATTGACAACTTTGTATCTCTGTTTTCACTGATAGAGTGCCAAGAAAAAGAGTGAACAGTATAATAATAACTAGAGAATGCAATTCCTGAAGAAATTGCTGGTGGGAATGCTTTATGCTGAAAAGCTGATGCTGAACTGCTATGCTGAAATGTATTGTGTAAGAAGAAAGTGAAGAATTTAGATTGAAATGATACATGAACACTAGGGGCTTGAATGTTTGATAAGAGAAGAAAATAAAGTAAAAAAGCTTGGAAAAGCAGCAGAATATTTGAACTGCAAACTATTGAACTAACTTGATGGCGAATGATTTGTCGCCATGGCAATGGTAATTGATGACACCCCATAATACGCTTAGATGCGTTGATGGCTGCATCGTTACCAAACCTGTGAAGTTTTGGGCTGTTTGGAGCATTTTCACTGAAGTTATGAGAAAACCGTGTTTCATGGCGAGCATTGTGTTGCCATGGCAACGGCATTTGAAGAAATCTCAAAACTGTCCCGTAGATGTCTTCACGGCTGGACTGTTAGCACACATGTGAAGTTTGAGCACTTTTTGACAATTTTCATAGGAGTTATAGCAATATTCTCTTTTATGGCGAGGGATGCGTTTCCACGGAAACGGCATATGATGAAACCCCATAATTGACGTAGAGCTGTTGAGGGCTGGACCGTTGACCATTATCTGAAGTGTGGTGCTGTTTTGA